AATTAAATAAATATTTCGAATGTTTGTTAGTAATAAAATGGCCAGTTATTTTTTTTTTTATTTTTAATAAATTAAAGTAACATAAAAATCCTTTGGAGAACGTAAATCATGACAATAAAACATGAATATAAGTGCATTTGCTATGTGTATATGTTTACATAGTAAAAATACTGAGAAATGAAACAAAATCAAGAAATAAAAAACAAAACAAATGAATATGTTTGTGTTGCCAATATACGCGTTTGTTAAACATAAATGAAGCGAAACAATTAAATCATATATACCTGCTTTATCCCATTGAAAAAAAAATGAAAAAAAACTATTAATTGGCCTATAAAGTCTATAATAGCATGTCATATGTCATATAATTTATTTATTTTTTTTGTTGTAATGAATTTGCTAACCAATCCATAGCTTCATTTAATCCAGTACCTTTAATAGCTGATGTTTTATATATTTGATATTTTCGATTTTTTAATGATGTTAAACCAAGTGCATTTGCTACTTCACTAACAGTCATACAACCGTCAAGATCTTGTTTATTAGCAAATACACATAAAACAGCATTTTTAAGTTCATCTTCTTCAAGCATTGAAACAAGTTCATGTTTTGATATACCTATACGATCACGATCCATTGAATCAACAACATATATAACTGCATCGGTATTTGAATAATAACAACGCCAATAAGGACGAATGGATGTTTGACCACCTTGAAAAAAAAAATAATTCAAAGAAAAAAAATATATATAATATTATTATTGAAGGAATTTTACCAAGATCCCAAACTTGAAATTTTAAATTTTTATACTGTACAGTTTCAACGTTGAAACCAATCGTTGGAATGGTTGTCACAACTTCACTGACTTGAAGACGATAAAGTATTGTTGTTTTACCTGCACCATCAAGACCCAAAATAAGTATGCGTCGTTCTTTATTACCAAATAGGCCAGAAAAAATACTTAATAGACTGCCCATTTGTAAATGATTGGTTTTATTTTTCTATTGGAAATGATTATTGGAAAGTAAAAATCTTGGTTATACAACACGAAAATAATTAAATTCCGATTATTAACATCTGTAAGATAGAATGAAAAAAAAACTTCTTACTCATACATTTAAGTGTCAAAAAAAAAAGAAGAAAAAGAAAAAAAAAGCTTTTTTTTTCTTCTTTTATTTCGAAGCAAATATATCGTTGGCCTTCCACGTCGTCAGCCACTGGCTGGCGCGTGTCATAGGTGATCATAATCATATTGGGCGATTGGTCAATAAGATTCACACTATATGTCCAGTCACATGAAATGAAATGATTTCATTTAGCTTGATCTACCAGGCGAATAAGAAAATGTCACTAAAATCTTCTCCGAGTTGAAATACTTTGAGAGAGGACGCTAGTCTATTATCAACAGAAGCAGACATCTACGTATTGTCAACCTCTTTTAAACAAATACGAAGAGTAGATGACGTAATGAAATGTTTTGAATGATAATTGTGTTAAAATTATTTAGAATTCTGAAACGATTGAAAAAAATTAATTTGTTTTTTCGTTTATAATTGATTCAAATCTCAATCACATCAAATCTTATTACTACTGATTTGTACTTGATTATAATTTCAAAAAATTGATTAAAATTTCAATCTCATCACATCTAATTAAGAAATTCGAAGTTAATTGTAATTGATTCTCTGCATTCAAACTGATTATGATTTGAAATCAAAGTGAATGTTACTAGTTTATTTGAATTTAAAGTATTGAATGAAGTAAATACGAAGATAATGATTTGATTCTGACTAACGACATAGATCATTAGAAAATCATCTAGTTACAGATATCTATTCAACATATTATCCGTCCGACTTTTAATTAATTATTAGACCATTGCACTAAATCTATAAGTGACTTAGATTTATTTGCTAAGTTTATTGATGTTCACTAAAAATATAACTTTTTTTGAAACAGTACAATCAGAGCATTCCAGAGAATGTGTAAGAAAAATAAACTAAGTCCAACAGATTTTTATTCGTCTTCAGAATTGTTGCGAAACTTATCACGCATAATCAAAGTAGTGAATTAAAAACTGACGATGGTAGTTGCAGAAATTTAACATGTTTAAGTCAGTTAATTCACATGCACAGCTCAACGCGTAATGTTTGCTGATAGAAATACAAATATACATATATGCAAAAATCTGCAATCTATTGTCATGTGCATTTCAAATAAAAATATGTTTTTGATCGACTTTAATCGATTGTACTTTATTGAAGATTTTAACGTGGTATGTGCAAAGACAAAAGTTTACATATATTAGAGTGCAAATGTTGGTCTTCTCTTCTGGATCACTCACACCTCCATTCACGCTCTCATATCCAGAAGAACTGATCGTTGAAATACGAAATTATGCGTAGAGTATGGAGTCTTTCACGAGTGAATGGACTGCATCTGGATCCAATAGTAGGAACACATATTGTATATTTTGATTCAAATCAAATAGTGTCAAATGGGCGATCAAGTTTCGTCGAATAGTACTCAAGAGATTTATCGACAGACATTTTTGTTTCCATCGTGGCCACATGTCGAAAAGTTTTGCACAAAACCAGCAGTGTTCTGACTTCTGAAAAAGGAAATTTTGGAAGTTTCGGAAATTTCAAGCACTTGTGTTCTAAATTGTTTGGTATTTCTCAAAATTATATAATTTCCGAAATTTCTGAAATTTCCAAAATTCTATACGTAGCGAAATTTCCGAAATTACAGAAATTTCTAAAACTTCTAAAATTTCTAATATTTCCAAAAGATTTTCATGTGCTCTGCTATGTAGTTATCGAGTTGATGGAAGCTTCGGAAATTTCTGTAATTTCCTTTTTCGGAAATCTGAACATACCTCCCATCTACCGAGTAATAAGTCACATCTATTATAACCTGATGGGCAATTATGGTATCATTCGGTCCTGTATGATCTATTTCAAAATCCGATGATTGCGGTCTTCGACAGGGTTGCAAGTGGTAGGATTTTTTTCTTTATTGGTATCAATACCGGTAACTGACGCTGAATATGATTTCAATACTAATGGAAACTTTCTAACGGAAGAACATACTCTTTTATCAGAGAAAACAAAAATTGGAGATTTCATACCATCTATGCTCCTGATGAGTTTTTTAGGTTTTGGATCGTTGCATAAGGTAAAGAGTTACAATAATTACTGAAGTTATTGAATGAAGGTTAAAGTCTTTGTTTCAGATACTGAATAGTAGTACTATCCTTCATGCCATACAAAAGTCGGCATCATTAAACAACGAAAAAATATTGAAGATGAAACACTGGTTGAATCCTAGCAGTAAGCAAACGAACAACGTGACAAAATGACATTTTGAAAAGATAAAATAATCTAGACAGGAACAAAAACTTATGCTAAGATATTAAAAAGACTTCAATCAGAACAAAAGACAGTTCAGCTACTACTTGAATAAAGAAATCAACGTTTAGAAAATTCTTTAAAAAATGATAATTTTACTGATGTACACGCTGCATAGATATTGAATAAATATTGAACAGAAAGAATGAAATCTATCAATGAAGAAATGACGAAGATCATGGAAGACGTATCAGCAATGCAACAAAAAACGAGTTCATGCTGTATATAAAAAGTCAAAAAAGAAGCCTAAATTTGCTTTTGAACAGTTAATAACAGAAGATGGAAAAATTTAGTGATAATTAAGTGTCTTGGCGATAGAACAGTCAGATGAGATTGTTTATGTGATCAACTAGATATTGTGCTTTTCATTTGTTACTCTTTTTCTTCTAAGTAATTATGTTTTCACCTTTTTTTTTGTTTGAAAGATATGAATAAATATTTGTTGAAATCATGATACATGTTGTATTAAAACATCTTGAAAGTACACATGTACTTAAAATTGTATAAAATTCATTTTTCTATAAAACAAACTTAACTCCTCCTTGTTTCCTCTAATTTTACAGCAAATCCTTCAAAATTTTGCAATTCAAATCTTCTCTATTTCTTTTCTTTCTCAAACTAGTGTTCATATGCCAGCCCCATATATACATATATAGATTTGTACGAATTTTAAAAGTTTGTAACATTTTGAAAATTTACACAACAGTAGATTTTCACAAATTGACTCGTAGATGTTAAAATTAGTATCAATTTCAAGATTTGCCACTTTATGCAGTTGAACATATAATGCTTGGATGGATATCTGCAGTAACATGATCTATCTATATTCTTTAAATTTAATTCCAGTCTAACTATTATTTTCTTATTTACTTGATCTAGTATTCTATAAATTCAGATGAATTGGTGAGATTACCTTTAACTTCAAATTATAATCTGATACAGTATTGATTATCAATACGAATCAATTGAAAATTTCTCAATGAGGTTACATAGGATTGAGATTTGCATCAATTTTGAAAATTTTAACTGATCTTTAATGTAAAGATCATTACGAATGAGACAATATTTTATAAAATTCAGAAACGATTATTTTCCTGATAAATTTTCGAAATTGCAAATTAAATTTACCAGAATAATTTCTTGAAAAAGCAGGTTTCTGCATCAAGTTAGATTGTCTTGTTTATAATAGACAAATTCATGTTTGTTGGATGAATATTTTTCACTGATATGTCTGTCATAGGCATTTTGACATTGTAATATTTAGTCTATTGGATGTTTTCAGAATATATTAACCCAACTATTGATGTCTACTAAACTAGCGGAATGAGACAAACACGAAAATAACCAATATCGATCACTCAATATTATTATAAAAGAGATTCACTTCTCATTTACAACTGACAAACTTTCACAGTCGTGTGATGCATGATACTTATGATCGTAGCTTAGAATGCTTCGTGTATGTTGATAAAAAATTATTTATTCTTAGATACATGAAACATTGAATAAAATAATATATTCAAATTCGAATCAATAATTAAAGTTCCAATATAAATAAATGTTTCTTAAAAACTTCGAGCGGGATAACTATGCATAGACGAGACCAGCTTGCACGATGATAAATATGACTGCTGCCATATCTGAAAGAAAAAATAATATTTAATAATGATTTATATTTAATATGTGCAAGATGTTGAAATTCAACTAACATTTATTCCGTATTGATAGAGTGTTTGAGGAGCTTGTTCTTGATGTTGTTGTTGTTGTTGTTGTTGTTGTTGTTGTTGATGTTGTTGTCGTCGATGATATTGTTATGTTTGTTAATGCCGTGACTGTTGATCCTGCGGTCGTTGTTGATTCTGTGGCCATTGTTGATGCTGCGGTCATTGTTGATGGTGCGACTGTTGTTGATT